ACTTATTTCCATCTTTCTTCTTCATGTATCATAAAGGAATTTGGACTAGGATTCTCAGATTAGGTAATTCCTCAGTCTTTATTAGGATCTTGTGAGAATACATGTATTACCCTAGTGACTGGCAGTAATAAAACATACTCAGAATCAGGACCATGACCTGGCTAGGGGCCTCCAATTCTTTTTTAGATATCATCACTGTCCTTTATAAATGTGGCAAAATGAAAGCTTAACTTGGCTTCTTCTGGGCTATTGTTCAGGGAACAGTCTGCCAATGTTACACTTCCTGTCTCATTTCTCTGGCAGATGCTCACAACACATCCAAGGTGGATTTCAACCAAAAGACCCAATATCAATTATATTTATTTTCAAGTTATAGGACAAAAGTTTCATTATTTTCAGGGCATGGTGTCATCAAGTGAAAAATGCCCATTATAAGCTGGTAGGTGTGAACAGTTAAGTGACACTTAGTGATAGTTTGCCAATGAATATGCCAAGTGCAGACAACATTGAATGCCATGTGTTGGTTTCCTTTATTTTAATTCAGTGCTAACACATTGCACACAGAATTCTTCTGTTTTAATTTTCACTCTGAATTATGACATGTCCACAGAAAATGAAAATTTGAATAGCCCACCAGGATTTTAACTTGTGACACTCAAGACATTGTGATATATTTCCAAATCAAGATGATGAGTGGCTTGGAGAGTGATTACAGGTGGTGTTATTCCTATGAAGCTGCTACTCTTGTTCTATAGATAGTAGTGGTCATAGGTTTGGAAGATGATGTTTCAAGACCCTTGGTGAATTTCTGCAGTGCATCTTATAAATGATACACACGGCTGCAACTGAGCATTGCAGTGGAGAGAGTGAATATTTGTAGATGTGGCACCAATTATGTGGACTGATTTGTCCTGGTGTCAAGCTTCTTGAGTGTTGTTGGACTTGCCCACATCCAGGCAAGCGAAGAGTATTCCATTACATTCCTGACTTCTGCTTTGTAGGTGGTGGATAAGCTTTGAGGAGTCAGAAGGTGAGTTGGTCACCACAGGATTCCCATCTTCTGACCTGCTCTGGTAGCCACAGTATTTATATAGCTGGCCCAGATCAATTTCTGGTTAACGGAAACCCCCAGGAAGTTAATAGCAATGATCATTCGATTGAATATCAAGGGGAGATGGTTAGATTTTCTTTTGTTGGAGATGATCATTGCCTGGCACTTATGTAGTATGAATGTTACTTGCCACTTGCCAGCCAAAGCCTGGATGTTGTCCAGCTCATGTGGAATTTGGATTGGGACTGTTTCTGTATCTGAATATTCATGAATGGTGCTGAAAAAACATTGCAATCATTGGCTAAAATTTCCATTTCTGACTTTATGATGGAGGGGAGGTCATTGACGAAGAAGCTGAAGGTGGTTGGGCGTAAGACACTCCGCCAAGGAACTCCTGCAAAGATGGCCTGTGGCTGAGATGGCTATCCTCCAACAATCACAACCATCTCTCTCTCTGTGATTTTTATGATTCCAACTAGCAGAGAGTTCCCTACCCCCCAATTCCCATTGACTCTAGTTCTGCTAGGGCTCCTTGATTCTACATATGGTCAAATGCAACAGTATGTAGCATGTATGTATGTCAGTAATACGTTAATGTAATTCAGGTTAGGAAATCGTAAATTCCAGAATTGTCTGCTTATCTGATTTAGTGAGATTTAGCAGAGGTGTAGCTTCCCCACCTTAAAATCAATCTATGAGTAAATAAAAAAGAAGACCTTATGGGGTCTCAGGTCAATGTTGAGGACTCCAAAGGGCAACTCTGGCCCAACTATGTGTCACTTACTACCACCCCTGGTGGGTTTGCATTGCTGCTGGGATAGACAAAACCAAAACTTCTTATGAATTTAATGCAGATATGTGTTTAGTGGTGCATCTTGGTAGGAAGTGTAAGGAAAGGCTTTATATAAAGAAAAGTGCAAATTAAAGAGAATACAGGTAAAGAGAGAGACCTGGTGAATGTGGTCGTGTACATATAGAAACCATTGAAGGCAACTGGACAAATTGAGAAGCCAACAAAAAGCATTGTAGATATTCTATGTATAAAAGTAGTTAACAAATTGTGAGATTATTTCTACAATAAATTGAATTTCAGTCTCACAGTCTCTGATCAGAATTGTAATATTTGATATAAATGGAATAACTTGGAAAATAAATGTTAGGTGCTGTTGTATGGACTTTCAATGTATGTATTCCTTTCAGCACTGTCCAACTCATTTTTACATGAATCCTTTTATTATAAGTCATCTGTTGTTTCTATGGATACTGCCCACAATCCAGATCAAATCCTGTGAACAAGTCAGTTTAATTGAAAACAGAATGATGCCATCATTTTTCCTACTGGCCTAAACTTCTTCCAGACTCGGTTGGAATATAACTCACTGAGATGTGAGGTATTAAATCTGTTGACAAACTGGCGCCTATCTCTATATGCTTAGCTGGCTTTAATGTTGCAAACAAACAGCCTATGTTTGTGTTCCACTACATAGCCTGAAGAAGGTCCATTATCTGCTTTACCAGCACATTACGTTTGGTGACACAGTTACCTTAAAATCGTCTTTAACACAACCATTCTTTTAATCCTTAAAAGTTTTAGCCACATCACTCATTGCAGTAGATACTCAGGTTTTCCCACTTCTTTAGGAGAATAAGGATTCAAAAAATAAATTTGAAATGTTTACAATACACACTGTATATAAATATATGACATGTTTCCCTCAGGATCACGGATGACTTGCTTTTCTCAGGATGGAGGGTCACTCCCTTTCACTCGAGTTCGACGTGGCTCTCAAGTCTAATGTGTGATCTGCACATTCTGCTACCAACAGGTCAGTTGGTGTTTGGAGCATTGGGTAGATGGATTATGTGGGGGTTTGTGTGCTGTAGCAACATCTTGACTTCTTCTATACAATCCTGATTAAGGGCCTTGATGTGCTCACATCCTTTCTGGATGTGCCTTCTACTTTTTGGTAGGTCACAGGCCAGCAATTCTCTTGAGATAGTTGGGGTATTTGATCTCTGTAAAGATGCTTGGAGGACTTTGTTAATGTATTTTCACTATCCTCCTGAAAATTCCTTGCTGCAACTGGGTCACGAGTGGATCAATTTCTTTGGGAGTATAGGAATTACATAACCCAATCTGTGGATCTGGTATTTAATGATTCATACCTCAATGTTAGATGAGTTAACTTGGGAAAGGACACCGATGCTAGATTGGCTACTTACCACTGCATTTAGAGAATTT